GCTATAGATCCTCTCATTTGCCTCTCCTGTGCATGTGATTTTGGTAAATTATCTGGAGGCATCAACATAGTGAACTTTTAGGAGCTTCAGTTTATACAAATGAAAGAAAAATGGCCCAACAGCAAAGCTGCATTTAAATGTTTGCTTTTTACTTCAGAGAGGGTGAGCACCTTAGAAAAAAGATGCTTATTTTAAATACCTGCAGTGTCTGGTGGAGCACAGCATCAAAACACCAGTGCAAAGGCTCCCTCATGCTCTGCTTATTGAGTAGATATAGCCTAAAATAGGATCGCTTCATTCCTGGCAATAGATGAGGAGCTTTTATGTAAACAGTCTTAGAGAAAAGAGAAAGGAGACAGCAAACACCCATTTTATAACATGCTGCAGTAACTCCTTTTTTTTTTTTGAACTCTTTGTCTTCTTTCACAGCTCTGTGTTGAGTTGCCCTGCCAATATTAGACGCACAGAAGATGCAGTATTAATATGCAGGATGGCCCCAAAAGCAGGAAACACTAGTCTAGAAGCACACACTAATTTCCCATTAACTTCAGCAGAACTGAATCATGCTGACATGGGACCACAATTTATGTCTCATTCGGGTTCTAACTACTATAAGTAGTTTTCCTCACAGAATTGTATACAGGCACATGCACAGCTGCTGAAGTGGATGCAGGTAGGAAACACACTTACTGTGAAACTCTTCAAGAGTTAGAAAAAATGGTTGGCTAACAGTAATTTTTTTCTCTCAGTGGCAACATTTTACCAATATAGATACATAGCCTGTAAATGAAAACCAGAAAAAGAAGACATTAGAGATACATCACCTTTAGATCTTTTGGCGTTAAAACAGTAACCTTTTCAATGTTTCATACACTGGAACCCTCCTATAATTTCATATCAAATGTACATGGCCAAAGTGAATGAAAAGCAAAGTGACAACAAATCACAGACAAGATACAGTACAGGCAGCAGAATTCTACATTTTAAGGTCCCTGCTAGAACTGTCTTTCCAGAGATTTTAAATGCAACTCTAATATAAATTTAATATTCGCAGTACATGTTGAGCATCTGTATTTCCAGGCTGAAAAGGAAACAAACCTTGAAATTGGCAGAACACAATATTCTTATGCCTTAAGGAGAGCATGCTCAGGTGCAAGAAAGCACCTGGAAGCACAGAATTCTGTAATAGCAAAATCCTCCAAATAACACAAAGCAAGAGTGGGCAGGTGGGGGGAGTAATTTAGGGCAGGACTCTGTGCCAAATGTGGCATATATATTAGTTTATTGTGTGTGAAGCATGAAATGCCTGCAGCAAGCTCCACATGGCAAATCCACTGAGATACAAGTATGTTTAAACACCCTGGGACTTATGAATGCTGCAAACAGGGAAAATCACTTTGAAGTCAGGAAAGGTAAAGTCCTGGCATCTGAGGATCCCAGGATAGTGTTAGTCACACAAGGTCAGGAAAGCAGAGAGAAGTCTAGAAGCAGCATGAGGGATCCATGTTCTCCCAGATGGAAAATAAAGAAAAGAAAGAAATTTTCAACATATATTTAATCAAGTCCTAAAGCAGAATTACTACTTAAAAGCCCAAATCAAGAAGGCTAAAAGGACAGAGAAAGGAGGAAACACCATCCCATTTACAGAAAGCAAAGTCTCACCCTGAGTGACCATAAGGTCAAGTCAGGTCTTTGGCAGAGCAGCCTCAGGTGGCTGGAAGAGGAGGCAGCTGCAGTGAGCCAAGACACTCCTACTGACAAAGAAGGGTATTGGCTAAATACCCCCTAGGAGGACATTTTCTTATAATTTTCTTTTGTAGATGTTCAAAGTAGTACAATTGTAGCCTATAATCATGTTTATGAAGATAAAGGTCAAACATAACTCTTTTGAGTTATGGCTGGTACTAAACAACTTCCCAGTGATCTGACAGTTTTGGGAAACCTTTGGGACCAGCAAAGTGAATTGACAAATTCTCTCAGAAATAAACTAGTGGGTTCTCTAAAGCTGGAGATACTCTTTACACCCTTCTGGAAGCAGCTGATTTAGGGACTGGTGGAACAACAGAGAGGTCTTCAGGTCTCTTCAGCGGGTGAGAATCCACTGCCTGAAGGCAAAGAGCAGGAGTGTAAATCACTCACTGACCCTGAAAACACTGTCTCATTCCATCATTCAGAAATTGATATGGTTAAACTAAATGTCCTGGGAATAAATAAGTCATTTGAAGGACACAGTACAGAACAGATAGTTTGGGCATTCATGACTTTGGGCTGGTTTTTGAATTTATTAACAGGGCATCTTGCAAAAAAATGCGTATCTGTGACCTCACCTGCAACTCTAAAGGCTGGTATGTGCTTCAGAGACCTAAGTCTACCCAAGAGCCTTTACTTGTATGTAAATTACAGATGCATTGCCCTGGGATGAGACAAACATTTCTCTGCCTAATGTGACCAGTCTGATGATTAGAAAATTTCAATTTTTAGCAATTTTCATGGTCTTCAAACACAAGCATTTGCAATTATTGCATTATCTAGATCAACACTTTCATACATAAATTAAAATTACATAGTTAAGCTCACAATCTTGCCTAGCAGCATTTCCTGCTCAGTGATTTGGATCAGCGTGGGCTGATCGTTAATGGAATGCCTGAAACCTTTATTGTATTGCACGTGAACACAACAGGATTTTATGTTCATGGCAGTGATTTAATGTTCACTCCTCTAATGAAGTCTTTTAAGTGATCTATAGAAGAAAAGTTAACAGCTTTAATACTTTGTCTTACAGGATTCCCTTTATCGATCAGCATAAACCCCGATACTTCTGCAACAACTCTCATAGCAAATAAATGTCAGCATCTGTTGGTCTGGTTTGGAAATGTGTGCTGCTCTCCTTCTGGCAACATTTTAAGGACACATTTTTCCCTTGAAATAGTGAGCCCAGTTCTCATTAAAAATCTGATTCTGATAGCACTTATCAGCAATACCTGGAGCAACTCTACTGATGCTAATAACATAACAAAGGGGTAAAATCAGGCTAAGTGAAAATAAGGACTTGGGACCACAGGCAATAAAAGTCTTGAGTCTGTTTATATTGGACCCAGTCTTGGCCTGGCAGATCTAACTCTCATGTATTCATGAAAAACAAGTATGTACCGTGCAGCAGAAGTACCCAAGTAAAGCTGAAAAAGCACCCACTGGAATATTTTTGGCTGCTTCTAATCTTCTGATCTTTTATTTACTCAGTGAATGCTTCCCCCCCACCCCCCCCCCCCCCCCCCCCCTCAATACAGACAAACTCAGAAATTACTTTCCTCTTTCCTTTTTATTCTGGCAACATCCTTCAGAAGACTATGAACAATCTGGGGGCTGCATCATACACCTACATGAAAGGGCAGGAATTTACTGTCCTCACATTCCAATCTAAATGAACCCACAACCATTCTGCTCTAGAAACAAAGCAGCAAGTCACTTTGGCAGTGACTAATGTGTCCACAGTCTTCTTAACAGCAACTATTTCATTACTGGCCAGTTTTCTACCAGAAGCAAATAAAGTCAAGTCTCTCTAGACCCATTTCCTTGGGTAAAACTTGTGTCTTACAAAAAATCCTCCAAGCAATACACAGGAATTTGAGTATTGTGACTAATTTGGGGGTCTCATGCTGAAACACTTTGTGTCCAACTTTTAGATACCAGGAGAAGACATAACTATATCAATCTCTGGAGGTGGCCAAGACTTCAGAAACAAAATGAAACTGGAAAGGCTAAAACCAATCAAATTAAATTCCTGTCTCAATTTTAAAACTGAGAAGTTAAGGAAAGGACTAAGAAATGCAGATGGAACTTGTAACATTTCCAACCCACTGTTTTAACTCCTGGGGATTTTCTTTCAAGAAACAACTCCTGAAAATTATATTCTATTTCTCGCATATGCTTGGAAAACTAGTCATCTTTGTCCATCCTTTCCAGTCCACTCACAATTTTAGAAGCCAAATAATCCAAATATCGTCTAAAGTTGTTCCTTATCTGAAGCCCTGCTGCCATTCTGGTGATCTTTGGCAGGACATCCCTTTTTGCAAGGTATGTATGAATGAGATTAGCAGAACAGATCTCAGCACAGATTCTTCTGGGACTTCACTGGTAACTCCATTTACCCCAAGCCTTTGTTTCTTATCTTTTAATTACAGATATAACCATGCCAGGATCTTCCCTCTTCTATCACAATTGCTTCACCTTCTAGAAAGTCTTTGGCAAGGCCTGCATTAAAAAGTTTTAGAATTCCTTACAGACAATATCAATCAAACCATGTTATCTATGTACTTGTTGATCCCTGCAGATGTACAAAACAAGGTGTTTACAGTAGTCCTTAAAGAAGCCCATGGATTGTTCCTCAGCAGACTCAGTTGTCCAAGCACCTACATTCCATCCCTTGTTGTCCATTCCATCCCCCTTGTTGTCCATTCCATCCCTTATTAGGCCTGTAGCTCCCCACATTCCCCCAGAATGCTTTGAAGCTGGACATCCATCATCCACCTTGAGACCTTCAGATACTGAGAAAGCTTTAAGCAATGACACATTTTACTACAAGCAACACAGCAACTTCATGTGTGAGTTCCCTTAGGCTCTCAGGTGAACACCATTATATTTTATCATCTACTGCACCATAACTTCCTCCACAGTGGCCTCAATATTGGATATATTCTCTCATTAATATACCCCAAAATGCTCTGTCTGTCTCACTTGTTTCTTCCATAGTGAATAACAATGCAGATAATGAACTTGGCCTCTCTGCAGTGTCCGCCATGTCCAGCTGCTCAGTTTTAAACTATGATTATAAAGTGATCCTACAGTCTCTAGTCAGCTCTTTGCTTTTGAGGGTTTGAAGACTTAATACTGGTTTTTTGAGTTTTTTAGCTAATTGCTCCTTCTTTTTGCTTTATATTTATGTATCTTTATATCTCCTTATGGAGATTAGGATCTTTTTCCTTCTCATCCTTTGGATATGTTTTTAGCATTTTAAAAACTGTCTTTCCATCTTTCATAAACTAATTTACTTTGCTGTTTAGCCTGTACCTGCCCTCTTTGACCATTTCCTTTTTTTTTTTCACCCTTGTTAGAGGGTGATATGTATTAACAATTCTGTTTGGGTATTGTTCAGCAGCCCCATATCGCCTCTAAGTGTTTAATTTTCTTAAAATCCCTTTTTAATGTGCTTTTATCAATTTTCTTCATATACACATACTCTTAATCTTACAGATCTGAGCATAACTGAGATGGATGTTTGGCCTTTTTATTCTGCAGGGACAGTGAATCTAAAGGATGCTGTAGTCACTGGTATGAAGTGCACTTAAAATGTAAAATTTTCAGCCAGATCTGGCACCTTATTTAGTGTCAAATCAAGGCTTTTTTTTTTTTTTTTTTTTTTTTTTGGGTGCACCTTGATTAGCTGCTGCAGAAAACGAACACTGACACTGTCTGCACATATCACCTCTGGGCAAACCTTAGACAAGATGTGAGGCAACAGCTATGGTGGTAACCGGATTTTCCACATACAAGAATATTTTCTGTCCCTCTGATCTCTGTGTATGCAGTTAAAGTTATGGTTCTGGTACAAGGAACAATACTAAGGATATAATGTTATTCTCTTCTTATTGAAAATGAAATTTCAGCCCATGTTGCACAAAATTCCTAACAATTCCTAATACCAAATGTGATCTTTAAACTATTAAGATTTTTTTTTTTTACTGATCTCAAGTGCTACAAATTCATGTCCAGACTTGCACCTTACTGTGAATTATGTCCTTCCAGATGGCAGGTGACACTCACACATACTCATTCACACAGTAACACACACAGTTCCACACTCACACTCACACTCACTCACACATAGGTTATATCAAAAAGCAGTGGAAGTACAGTTGCTCTGGTCTCTCTTATTTCCAAAATAAATCTTTGACACGTTTTTCTGATGGCCTTTAAAGAAGGAGTGACCTATGTACAATTTTTTTTTTAAATTAATAGCAAACAAGGCAAAGAGTACGAAAAATTGTTGCAAAGTATGGATTAATTTTTGTGTGGAACTGCTATTTGTAAGGATTTTATGTCAGTGCCTGTGAGAGATGAGATGGCAGTAGCTATCTGTCTGCCTGGCTTTCTCATACACACAGCAGATGCTATTCTCAGAATTATTTTCCACATCCCTGTAGCACTATATTGAGCACGTGGACTCTCATCTTGAGCAATAGCACAGATATTTCTAGTGGAAAACAAGTCAAACTCTGGCGTCAAGTTTTAAATTGGCCAGAGACTTTTGTGCATGAAAACAAGTTGTCCAAGTACTTCTGGCCATCCAAGAGTGCATTTAGTGCATTTAAGTAATCTGTGAAGACCTACCTGGCAAGAGCAATGTCCTTGCTCTTTTCTGCTTCAGAGATGCTGTATGGACGTGCATGGTTTTTTTTTAACTTTGAAAGCTCTATGCTGAGGAATAGGGAAAGAGGAAATAAACAACAATTCTCTTGGCACAGATTAAAAAAAAATACACCTTCTGCCAAAAGTTGTACTTTAATTTTGGTCTCACTTATAAAATCATCTTTGCAGAACATTAAAATTCTACATTTTGTGTCCCTTAGGCAGCAATAAAGTATCAATTAATGTCAAGCTAAATAAAAAGAAACAAACACATTTGTTTTTAATATCTAGAAATTAATAGCTAGAAATTAAAGTCTTCAAGCCCTTAAGCTCTTGGCTTCAAGAGCTCTTGGCTTCTTCCTTCCACAAGGACAGAGCTACTCTTCTTCCAGGTCAGCAGTGGAGGCAAAACTCCAAGGACCAAATTTGCTGAAGTACAATCTCCCTCAGGAACATGAATGTCACACAGCCACACATGAATTTAGGCAGACAGGGACTTCCAGAGATGATCTAGTCCTAGCCCTGCTTAGAGCAGGTCAGCTTGTTCAGGATCATGCCTTCTTGCAAACCTCTGGGTTTAATAGAGCAAAGGGAATAGTGTGACTGGAGCACAGCACTGACCTAATAATTTAGAATTTAGAAACTTTTCAGAATAAAAGAGAAGGAATCATCATAATCAGAAAAATGAACATGTTCTGGATACCCATACTAAACCAAGTATTTTAGTGTGGGGTTTTGTTTGTTTGTTTTGAACAAAATGACCAGGAACAGAGACAAGCAAAGTATTTCTTGCTGCCCAGACCTGGCATGCTGTGCAAGGTGACCTGAACCAGGCATGCCAGACTGTCTCATCCTCCTGAAATTCTTCACTGACAGTCACTGACAGAGCACATCTTTCATGTGCTTAGTGACCAAAAGTAAAACTTCTTTTAAAAAAGCTAAAGTAAAAACAAGAGAGTTTTAATATTTCATTTTTATTAGAAAATGGAAAACTTCTAACAAAAAAGTGCATCCTTGTTCATCTGCCTGAAGGAACCAAAGCCAAATGCCTCTTGATCTTTAATTGCTCTTCTCCCATTCCCTGCTTCTCTCATGTGGTAGAGAACAACAGAACAGTGTTTCTCACTGTTTGAATTAACCTAATTAGCACAGTGAGACCTTAGGCCACACATGCTGTACAGATCTAAACAATATAATTACAGGAATATTTTCATTTTAAGAATATTTTTTGTTTGCATATTCCCATTTTGCCTCATTTTTCCTCATATAAATTACTGAAAAACTCATCTGATTGTGTTCACTGAGTGCCTGTAGGACCCTTGGAAGAGGCTGGCTTTTGTTACTCAAATCTTATTTCCTACTTTCCTGTTCTTGTCTTTCTGAAAGAAAATAATTAAGTTATTTTCTCCTTCCACATTTTAAACTTTTTTCTTATTCTAGCTTCTTAAGTTTGAGCTATTAAAATAAAACCCCCTGCAATATGGTAACAGGAGGAAGGACAAAAAACAGTAGGAAGGCTTTTATTGTACTTAGTGACCAAAAGTAAAACTTCTTTTAAAAAAGCTAAAGTAAAACCAAGAGAGTTTTAATATTTCATTTTTATTAGAAAATGGAAAACTTCTAACAAGAGCTTTCTGCAAAAAATTTTGAAAGACACTTTTGTAGGGGAAAAGACTTTCAACAGCAAATAAATTAAACCCCAAAGTAAGCTCTCATCTTAGAACCTTGGGAACAGACCTTTTAGTAGGGCCTGTAGGGACAGCACAAGGGATAATGGTTTTCTACTAAAAAAGGGTAAATTCAGGCTACTTATAAGAAAGAATTTTTTTGCAATGAAGGTGGAACTGGAACAGGTTGCCCGGAGAGGTGGCAGATGCCCCATCCCTGGAAATATTCAAGGCCAGACTGGAGAGGGCTCTGATCAACCCTGATCATGGCAGGGGGGTTGGACTAGATGAACTTGAAAGGTCCCTTCCAACCCAAAATATTCTGTATTTCTATTTGTTCTTATTCACAAGACATTGGATTGACTCCTTGTCCAGCACTACCAGCCCTACTGGAAAAGTTGATTAATAATTTTCAGCTGATCCCCAACTTCTAATTAGACCTCAGGACAAAACAGCTCAGTTCCCTCCACTGTACCACAAATCAACAGAGACCTGCTGAAAGAATTCCAGGTCAAATTCCCTGGATGCAAGTGAGGTGAATTATGACAACCATAACACAGGCTCCAATAACAGTCTGAAATAAAAAAAAGCAAAACACCCCCAACAGAAAACCCAACCACACTGCTGAACAAATAGCCAGGACAGATGAAACTGCACAGACCCGCAGGGCTTTCTGCAGTAGCAACTTGGAAATAGATGCCAGGAGAGCTGCTTAATGTACCTGGGGTACAAAAGCTGACAAAGCTACAAATGATGTGGTCAGGAAAGAATTTCAGAGGCAAAGTGGAGAGGAATGCTTTAGCAGAGCTGCACCTCTCCAGAGAGACGAGCACTCCTGGCCGTGCCAGTCCTCACAGGCCTCTCTAAGGGCACACAGTCGTTCTGAGGCCAGTACAGAAGGCTGAGTCCACAGCTGCCTTGACTCCCCTCTGGTTATCCTCATGTGTCATCTCCAGCACTGTACTGGCAGAAACCTCCCCACAATTCTAAAGAAAGTGGCAGGGTTTTCCATCTCCATATTTCTCCAGTCAGCAAAATTTTTCCATGATTCTAAGTTTCAGAATTACTTTCTTTCACATTCTCTGCAGAACTGAAGCCCACCGTGAGATCCTCAGAGAAACCTCTCAGTGAACGAGAGGAATGCCCAGTAAGATAAAGCAGATGGGACTGAGAGCATAAATGAATTTTGGGATCTGCTCCTACAGCTTCACAGGGCATTCTTAGGGGGTTTCCAGTAAGGCTGCAATGACGAACATGCTGGTTTAGCATTCGTTCTTTCACAAACTAATAATGAACCCTCAGAGCTGCAGATGACTTCAAAATACGTGGAAATTTCAAGCCCAGCCTTTGACAACACAGGTATTTATTTTAAATTAAAGCCAGGCGCAGAGCAAATGATTACATAAAATAGGCAAGGACTGTTTCCGTAAGAAAAAGTGCATTTTACAGTGCTTCATTTTAAAGAAAATCACCACAAAAAACTGTTGAAAAGACCCTTATGGCTTATCTCTACAGCTTTATCACCACAGTGGTGTTTGCCCTTTCACAGAGCAATTTGTATTGAAATTCTATCCAATTGATTTATTAAATATGCTTTGAGGCTGTAGAATATGTGCTTATGTGCTGCACTTGAAGTTATATTTTCAGATTAGGGTAGTAGTTTTCATTTCAGAGCTGTACTTTAGATACTGCTTTAGAATTCTTATTTTTGTATGAAATGAGAAACATTACTTTTTATAAATGCACATTTCAAATTCATTTCCTAGCTCTACTCCAACACACTAGGGCTTGTAAAAATCAAGTCTCCACCCTATTTTTGAATTTTTCACTCATTCACCATGAGAATTTTAGCAGCTGGCTGAGAACCAATTACTTTTAAAAAGATGTCCTAATTTTTGGAAATAATATTTTGTGGTGTTTATTATTATTTGTTGTTTGTTTCTTGTTATTTTTTCACCTTGGTGAGACTCAAAATGAATCTGCTTCAAATGGAACTCACATTTCCTGACTCTTAGTATTATTCTCTTTCCTGCACACACTGAAAAAAAAACCAAAACAGTGTTGAGATTGAGGAGGTCCCTAACATCTGAGAATTAATAACATAATATATTAACCAGAAAACTTGAAAGTAAAGAAGAGAGATCCACTCTGTCTAGTTAGCCCCAGTAATAGGTCCCCAAGACTGAGAAATTGAATTAGACTGGTACATGTTGTCCCACTTCAGAGCCGTAATCCCACCACCTCAAGGCCTTCTTTAGTAATGCCTTCATTCCATCAGTACCTCAGACTCTGATATTCTCTAGGTGTCTTTCTTGAAAAGTTGTTGGAAATCATATTTCTTCTGGAGGGACAAAGAAATCTGTGATTATTCCCAGTCTCTTCTAAGAAAGGGGCAAGAGGACATCAAATAATTCTACCAAACTGCAGGTTCAAAATAAATGAAATATTTCTTTATACAACTCTCAGTCATCTTAATCAACTCATTACCTTGGATGTAACTTCTTTGAATATTGAGTTTAAAAGCCTTTGACAAGCAGGAGGGGAAAAATTTTTGAAGGCTATTAAATGGAATTATTTAAGTTTGTAGGTCCCTGAGACAGATACTACTGGTGGCAGGAAACACTGTTGCTGCTTGCTTGCCTTCTCCTATTTTTCCCTAAGCATCTGGCCACTCTAGGAACAGGACACTGGCATAAACCATCTGGTCTAATTAAAGCCAAATAGACATATCCAAGGATTAAAATTATTAATCTACCTGAAATCCAGGAAAGATAGGACATGAACAGACATTTGCTTGGCAGAATACAAGAAGTCCCCACATTAGATCAAGTTGCTCATGTTTGTTTTTGTAATATTTCTTGCTTTGGGGTACTCCACACACATCTTTAGCAATGATGCTTCAACACAATTCATTGCAGAGCCAAGGCACG